CCCCTTAAGGCAGCGACACATCGACACTCTCCAGCGTCGACGTCAGACTGCGTTCCTTTTGGATTCAGGATGCTGCACTGTGGTTCATTCACGTAGAGACACTATTTGCGGCACGTCATGTGACAGATTCCACGAAATATCATTACGTGGTGAGCAGTCTGCCACCATCAACTGCGACCGAAATTCGCATCTGTTAGCTTCCCCGCCAGCAGACAACGTCTACGAGGCGTTCGCAGGGTCATACCCCCCAACACTCGTTCGCAGGGTCACGCCCCCCCCCCCCCCCCCCCCCCACCGAAAGCCAACGGCTGTAACAGCTTCTTTATGAAGCAAACCTTGGCGACAGAACACCAAGTCAGCTGCTGTGTCATATGCAGTAATTATTGGATAACAAGACGGATGGTCTCGACAACCTGTTGCTCAGAGAAATATGTCTCGAGAAAATTCCGCCGAACGTCAGAATGGTCCTCAGTGCCTCAAACGAGAATGATATAGCCAAGCTAGCCGAGTCAGCCGACAAGCTCATGGGGGTAGCTTGACGCAGAGACAAGCTACCCCCATGGAGCCGCGAGCCGATCGTCTACTGGCTAGTTGCGTGCAGCGCTTCGCCTATTTACCGTACACACCGTGCCGAGCCGCTTGCGCCCACTCCACTTCAGACCATGCACAGATGCGGCTAGAAGCCTGTTGAGTTAACGCGAGGATGCGAGTTTTCTCCAAGCGATGCTCTAGCAGTCCTGGCAGCGGGCGGATGCACGTTTGGGCTGTCGCCTCCTGAAAGCGTGCGCTACGCTTTCCGTCTCCGTGCCCACGCTCCACAAGGCTCAACTCCGCAACAACAAGCGGCTTTCGTTTCTGCAAAGCGGCGCCCGCTGAACATGGTCCTGCACAACGATTCAGGCGGCAGTGATCGGCGCCTCAGCGCTCTCGGGTAGTCGCCGGCTATTAGAAGCGTGCAGTAGGCTTAAAGCAGCGCTGCGCCAAGCGCGTCAGCGTTTTGTCGGCGATAAGTCATACTGGCATGCCTTTCGACAGTCGCCCCATCGCTTTTGTTCTTCGTCAATGCTTATCAGGAAAGGCACCGCCGAAATCGCGCGGAGGTCGGAATAACTGGTCGGCCGATTCCATGCTTTTGCAGCAGCACAACTGTATACGCAAATGTAGCAGCGCACGTGTACAAGATAGCGACCATCACGTTATATCTGCTCACCATGGGTGCTGTCAACATTACTTTCGCTTCCTTGTGGCGCAGTAATGGCGCAAAGTAGACAAAAAAAAAGATCCTTTCGTAGCAGCATGGCACCGTCACTTCCAATCGGCGCAGGTTGCGCAATTGGCGCACTTCTCCTACCACTGTAAATCCTACGCGCGGACGATTAATCACGACCAACTGAGCTTGCAGCCCCACCCTCAGTGACAAACGAAGGTCGTCCCCAATGGCGTGAAGTGAAGAGAACTTGCTACGCTTGTTTCAAGCGATGTGAATACGGTTGTGTTTGAGGAGGGAGAGAGACAGAGAACAAAAATCGAAGACAGTCAGAGGACAAAGACGTCCCAAGAAGCTATCTACCGGGCTCCCACAAAAGCACGCTCAGACCGATTCTTTCCATGGACAATTCTTTTTTAGGCACTTTCTCTGCAAGACAACTGTCGGAAAATACACAAAGCAGGAATGAGCTGACGTAGTACTAAAATAGCCGCGCAAATGAAAAATAAAGGAAAGCAAACAAGAAGAAAAAAAAACAGTGGAGGCCTTTCATAAACTGCGTCGTTTTCTTCTTGTCCGCAATGCGCAGTTTTCACCGCTTTCCCGTTGATTAAAACTCTGTGCAAAATGACAAGACGGAAGCTCATGGCGAGCACACGTGTCCCAATCATTGTTCCGACGGCTTTGTTCGACCGATGACCGGGCGCCTTATGACAGCCTCGGAGTGCCTTTCTCAACTCCGGTTTGAGCCCGGCACTGCAGCTATAGGCCACCGGCGACAGAAAGCGTGCCTCGACATTTTTCGCGACGCTCCAGGTGGGTCTAGAAAGTGTGACGCAAACTCGTTCCAGCCGAAGGCGGAGCTCCGTCGTAGTTCATTTCTTGGTTGCCCATTTCACGGCTTCCGCGGAAAAACTCAAATACTTCATCAGAATTTTTTGTCAAGAAAGGGTCACGAACTTCAAGAAGTTTGGGGGCTTTGACAACCTTTTTTCTGTAGATGTAATTGACCTTTTTTACTCGTATCCGCATCCGGAGCTACTTCGAGCGGTTAAGAAGTGTATCGAAGAAGGTGGCGAAGCCACCGTTGTGACTAAAACGGAGATGTCGTCTGCTAACTTTGTTACTGTCAAATACCCCTGTCACACGGCCACCACTAAACTCCGTTGAACACCGTCAACGTAAATCTCCCCTAGGTGATTCGACGGAGAAGTAGTTGTGGCAGTGTCACACGGCAATGAAAAGGTTGTAACAGCTGGCGCGAGGAAGCTCAGCTGGCGCTGTTTGATTTTCGGAAAAGTATTCTAATTTCATCTGTATTGATTTTTTTGTGAATCCTCGTTCTGGGGTTTTTACAAAAAAAAACACTATTAAGGAGGTAAGAGGCTAACAAACCATAAAAATATTTTCAAATGAAAACGAATTCGCTAAATGTAGCGATGCTGCTAGTGACGCTGGCCACATTGTGCTTTTAGTTGTTTTGTTGCCTGTGTTCATGTTTGTGTACGAAAATTCTTGTGCTTCCTTGCCTCGTGAGCGCACATTTTGTGTTCTTCAGCCATGAGTGACACAGCAACGACCACAACCACACGCATGGACGAAATATTTTTAAATGGCGCCGGCCGGCCCGACTCGCGAGGCACCACGTGCGAGGCACGGAGTGTAGAGCATCGGTGTTGAGAGTAAGTGAACTCTGGCGGGCGTAAATATATGTAAACAAACACGCGTTGTGAACGTGTACTGCAACGAAAGAACGTTTATGATTGCCAAAATGTATTATTCTTTCACTGCGGCCACTTAGTGCTCGAAATTTTTCTCTGACCTCTAGACTGCTGGGGACGAGAGTACCTGGTTTCGCTGCGAAGGGAGATCGTTGAACGTCCTTTGCGAAACGCTCCGTTTACCTTCGTTTGGGTAAGGGTGGCCGTGTGACACGGACCGCATCTTCGTTGTCGTAAGGACGAGGGAGTTAAACTGTCTTCGCGGGTGCCCGTGTGACAGGGGTATTAGAAGCCTATCTCAACCTTACTTTCGTTTCTTTTGAACATGGCAAGCTTTTACACAGGAAGGGCATTTGCATTGGGTCACGAGTAGCCCCAATTTTACGTGACGTCTTTTTATTATCCTTTGACCACGCACTACAAAGTGTTTTTACTTCATCTCATCCGAATGTTCTAAATGTTTTTAGATATGTCGATGATGGTTCAGCAGATTTTACATATTTTTAGAGCAATTGCTAAGGGGTTCGCGTTCACTAATGAACCTCCGAAAAATAGCTCTTTGCAGTTTTTGGACCTTAATCTGACAATTTTGGGTGGTCATATATGCTGTGCGTACCTCCCCACATAGTAAGAAAGAATTGTTACTGTACGACTCAGCACATTCTAAGACTGTGAAGCGCGACTTGGAGTTGGCACTACGCAGATCATGTAAGCATGCTATGCAGGCTAGCTTTTTGCTTCAGCTTCAAAGACTTTCCAAGGCCGGCTATCCTCAGTCTGTAGTTAGTTCCGTGGTGGAATCCCTGCTGCACAGGGTGAAAGGTCGCGCTGCTACTGCAAATGCACGCCCGAAGGAGAGGGAGCGGGTTAAGCCAGAGGTGGTCCCTTATGTACACCATGTGAGCCATAGCCTCAAGAAGGTGGCTATCCGTTACGGCATTCGGGTCGTTTTTTCAGCTCCAAACAAGGTCGCTCAATTGTGCCCGCATATCACGTGCGATGAGCAAAGGGGCTGCCAGAAGCAGCACACTAAACTTTTTAGGCGCTGCGCACAAGGGCTGGTATATGGGACACCCCTAAGCTGCTGCAAGTTCTATATCTGCCAGACAGGACGTTGCATCAATGACAGACTGAGGGAACACGCAAATAGTTTAGGCCAAAGTGATGATGCGCATCTCTCAGCGCACTGTGAAGCCTGCGGATGTGTGCCATGGTTTGAGAAAACGGTGATTCTTGGTAGGAGTAATAAACAGCTAGAGAACTCTTGTAAGCTTTTTTTCATCAAAAAGCAAGGGCCCGCTTGTATCAGCGATAAATCTATTATGTTGTATTCCACAGAAATGCTGTTTTTAGATGACTTATTGCCCTGAACAAGACGGTGTACGAAGTTTGTAGGCTGTGCACGCATGCGCGGAATTGTCTTCTTTTCCTATGCATTTTTTTAGAGTGCCATCAAACATTTAGTGCGCTGATCGTTGTTCTCTTCTTCTCCTCCTGTTTCACGAAATCCTTCTTGCGCCTCAGTCATCTGCACCATGTATGCACCAACTTGCCCAAAAACAATCATTTTGGAAGGGAGAATGAATTGCCATCAACCGTTGTGAAGCCAACAAAGCGGCTTCTCAAACTTAATAAGCGTTTCCACTGTGCGCCTCTTGCGGGCCAGAACCACCATGGTTATGAACCCATTGTGCTCGAGCTCCGCAGCGCAACACTTTTGCCCCTAATTTGTACACAGTGGGTTATAAAGCGAACGAAAGTGGAAGACAATACAGCACAGGCAGTGGTACGTTGTGTTCCAATGCAACGTCAGCGCTTATCAACGACTTTGTGCAGTTATGGCGCGGAAGACTGCGCGCCATGACTGTGTAAGCGAACGGCGCACGCGTTAGTCCAGCATCCGACTGGCGTTAGCCGGACTCGGCATATTACGTACAATTTAGGCTGCCCGCCCACGTCACACACATGAGAGCAATGCTCTCCGCGTGTTGTGCGCGCCGACCAGCAGACATAGTGAGTGCCTATAAGCGAGACCGTCCTACTCTGGTCCGAGTAAAGAAAGGCGGACCTACCTTCATCAACGTCGTTCCGTGCTGCGGCCTCGAGGAGCATGACGCTGGGGACGAAGTGCACCTTGTACTCGGTGGGCGGCGGCGCCACAGCCGGCGACGAGGCCTTGCCCTTCTTGGCCTTCTGCAGCTCGCGCTCGTGCTGGCTCCACTTCTTGAGCTGCTGCTGGCGCCGCTTCTTGGCGTGCTTGAGGCGCTCCTGGGTGCTCATCTTCTCCACCACGCTCATCTCGGTCACCAGCTCGCTGTGGTCTGCCATGGTGGCAGACAAACGATGCACCTGCGCACGCGATACACCGAGTGATGCACCGGTCTCGCTCAGTGCCGCGAAACAGCACCCGAAGGTGCAACCTCGTTCAGAGAACCAGAACCTCGTATAGGCCGCTCTATAGAACGACCGTAAGATACCACCGATTTACTTGCTACTGAAATGCTGACCCTAACGCCCACTGCGACGGTTTGTTTGTTTGTAGCCTAGAACCCATGGCTCATACCCACTCTGGGGGATTGGCCAAGAGAACATATAGTCTCATATGGACGATAACTGCACTATTGCTAACAACAAAAAAAGCGGGGGGGGGGGGGGGGAGTTGTAGAGTGAAGATAGTATATTAAAAAAAGAAAGAAACCAAAGAAACCAAAGAGAAACCAAAGTGAGAAAAAAATCAACAAGTAGACAGTAATAGCTATACCTTGATTTTGGGAGCCGACCAGACAGCTGGTTTAGCCAAACCCGATTAATTTGGTATGTCACGGATTTATCCAGATTTAAAAATTACTTTTCGACCCCTTTTTTAAGTGCCTGTTAACGTGGGCTTAATGTTGAAAAACGTTTAGAGTCTTGAATAAAATGACACACCGCATCGAATGCATCTCTGTGGCAATTTCCCAAAACAGAGGCACGAAAATTTAGAACATTTTCTGTGGTTAAATTTAAACTTAGCTTCTCAAATGGAATATTTAGAAGTCATTTTCTAATTAATGCATAGTTCCGACATGAGCCAAAATAATGTTCAATATTTTCTGATTCTTCGCAAAACGGACAAAGGGGGGAAAGTGTCAGACCAGCTCTGTGTAAATAAAAATTTAATGGGGGGACACGGCACCGGAATCTGGAGATTATAATTTCAAGTTTTTTTGACGGACTCCGCTGGGCTTTCCATTGAAGTTTGAGGTGCTGATAATCTGTCCATTGTGTGATGTTTTCTAAACTATCTGTAAAAATAGCGAATTCCCTATATCATACCCCTGATAAGTATTCTAACTCGGGAAGTACTGAAATTACTGGTACATCAAGTGATGCTCGTGTCAAAGCATCTGCCAATTCATTTAATTGTAATCCGCAGTGACCTGGGAGCTACACTAATTTGAGGAGTTTTAAATGCGGCGGTGCTGATGTGTAGAACGCTGCTAGGGCACGAGATTGTTCGGAGGTTGTCAGAGCTGCACACACCGAAAGTGAGTCTGTTAGGATGATTGCACTGGTCTCGGTCGTAGGAATTTTTCGAAGAGCTAAAATAATAGCTATAGCTCGGCTTCGAATATAGGAGTGAAATCTAGAAGCCTTACTGAAAAAGACCAGCCGAGGAAATCAGACGCAATTCCGACAGATCGGCAGTACTTGTTCTTTTTCACCTTTTTTGTGGGTCATACCCACTAAGCCAAGCATTAAGCAGTCCTATAAAATCTTATGGAACTTTAGAGTAAAGCAGCAAAAATATACAGAGCGAGAAAAAACGTGATACGGAGGTTGTCAGATATAAGGTGCACAATTTCCCTTTTGGACGCCCAAGTGTCTAGGAGCTCCGGAAGTGAAAGGAAATGGCGGATCCTAATATGGCACTGATTTTTTTTTTTCATGCCCTATAGGTGCTATACATACATATTAAGCGTTTTCGCCGCTGCCGCGTGCTTGCGGTCTTCGCTATGCGGAAGCGTACTCGCGCTGTTGGATGTTCTCGCGAATAACGCTGCTCGGGAGTGGTGCCGTACTCGAATAGCGGTCACAAGTGCACTGACGCCCCGGACTGCACGTTTTTACGTATTCTGAAACCGCGCACTATACTCGATTCCTGGCCTTCCATTGCGTAGTTGGGCGGGTATGAGTGCACTATACGTCCTCATATTTCCGCCTTGGACGGGGATAATCGGTTTGCGTGTAGAGCTTAGTTTTTTATTTCGTGGCGCGTGTATTCACAAGCAAATATGGGACATGCAGGTGCCCAAACGTTGGCAAACTTTTCCGTCCTGTATAGGCTGCATATATGCACGCACCTTGAGCAACTTATGGCGAATTTCATTGGGAGAGCAGAAGCACTCAAAGTCACGCTGAAAGTGCTCTCTTCAGAGCCGGCGTGTTTGAATGGTCGAACATGTGCAGGAGCATTAATTGTCATCCATTGGTAGAGCGAGAGTGCTTTTGCTGCGCCGAGAGCAGCCAGGAGCAGTTCGCAGCGCTCTCGCCTGAAAAGCGGACTAGGCGCAGTACGACGAGTCACGTGGTCCACAAACATCACAGCCTCCAAATTTTTTCTTCAGCTGGCAAGTGCGGCTGCAATGGTAGCAACCATGTGTAGTTTGACACCGCTGTTTTGTAACGGATGGCTACGATGACAGCTGGACGTCTGCCGAATGCGTTGTTGAGCAAGCATACTAGGTATTATGACAATGAAGAACGTGTGGCTGACCGATTTCACGCGTACTATGCTGCTGCTCCACAGGGAGTAATATACCGCGGGGCTTTGAATGTTTCGATAACATGTTCCCCCCACTCATCACTCCCTTCACCTGCCCTCCGGGAGCGCGCCGCATTCCAGTGACAGGTTGAGTGGACCTGCTATCGGTGATCTGCCCCCCTCTCTTCACTGCCCTGCACCTCTGCTCCTGTTCTCTCAATGTAATTCGCCATTAAGCAGCATGTGTCCACAGTCGTTAGGTCACGTACAGGACGAGAAATGGCATCAATTGATGGCACATGTTTTCTCTGTCCTTTCGCACATATATTTTCCCGTACCCTAGCACGTGTAGGGTAGCAAATAAACTTTACCTACTGGCAATCGTTTCCCTATATCGTATCCCTTCGAGAGACTGGGTAGTGGAGATAAAGCGATTTCCATCACCCGAATTGCCTGGAGCGTTCTGACATTCTCAGTTTGTGTGGATTGGCATATTTAAGAATTATGTCTTGAACCACTGGCTGGTTGATTGATTTGATTGATATGTGGGGTTGGAACGTCCCAAAACTATCATATCATTATGGGAGGCGCCGTAGTGGAGGGCTCCGGAAATTTCGACCACCTGGAGTTCTTTAACGTGCACCCAAATCTGAGCACACGGGCCCACAACATTTCCGCCTCCATCGGAAATGCAGCCGCCGCAGCTGGGATTCAATCCCGCGACCTGCGGGTCAGCAGCCGAGTACCTTAGCCATTAGACCACCACGGCAGAGCTGGTAGCCCAATCTCTGGGGGAGGGCTCGTCCTGTCGTAGTGCACTGTAGTCTAGTCTTCTAAGAGGCAAGCTGCGCCTCCCTGTGTTCGTCGTAGGTATTTGTTATGCCGAGGTCTTAATTTTGTGGTTGCCGTGCTTGTTGGCAGACCTAAGGCTATCTTGTAGGCCTTCCTTAAGATTGCTTCCACTTGCTCCTTTTCTCTTTGGTTTAAATGCTGGTAGGGGAGGCTATAGGTGGTTCTACTCACCACAAGTGCTTTTACAAGCTTGAGGGTGTCGTCTTCCTTGAGGCCGTTTCTGCTGTTGGTTATGCGCATGATCATTCTCGTTATCTGGGCCGCCAACCCAGACAGCAGTCTGATCGTGTGGTCCACCGTCTGGTTAGATTGAATCCACATACCCAGAAGCCTTTACGTCTGTACTTCCGGTATGCGGACCCTGGCCAGTGTGACTATTAGGTCGACCTTATCGTTCTGTCTGGGCCTGCGCACCCTTAGTATTTCCGACTTTTCAGGTGAACATGACAGTCCTCTTGCATTTGCGTACTCTTCCACACAATTGAAAGCCACCTGTAGTCTCTCTTTGAGTCCCAGCGAGCCCTCCGTCGTCCATATGGTGATGTCATCGACGTACATTGCATGCAGGATGTCGTCTATAGCATTCGGTTTCTCTGCCAGCTCGACCATTCCAATGTTGAACAGAAGAGGTGAGATCACGGACCCTTGCGACGTGCTCTTGTTGGGCAGCCTGAACGTGTCTGACCGCAAGTCGCCCATCCACATGGCCACAGTCCTATCAGTGAGGAAGGCCTTCACGTAGCCGTGGATTTTTCCCGCAATTCAGGTTGGTTATCGCTGATAGTATGGCGTTATGGCTGACGTTGTCAAAGGCACCTTTGAGTTCAAGAGCCAGTAATACGTGTTCTCCAATCTTAGGGACGTTGCTGAGAACTTCCTCTTTGATGAGAAGCAAGACATCTTGCGTTGATAGCTTTGGACGGAACTCAAACATCGTGTGAGGCATGAGGTCGTTATCTTCCAGGTAGTTTTGCAGCCTGATCATGATTGTTCGTTCATATAGTTTCCCTAAGTCAGTGAAATAGGTGGTAGGTTTTCTAAGCTCGGCTTTTTGCCTGATTTTGGGATGGTGATCTGCGCATGTCGCCACTCCACTGGAACGGTCTACGCTTCCCAATGCTTGTTCAAGAATTCCCTGATAGATTTGATATGTTCCGGACCCAGGTTTCTTATTGCGTAGCCGATCTTGTCTGCTCTGGGTGCTGTGTTCTTCGCGGCCATTCTGACTACCGCGTACACCTCTTCTTGCGTAATGGGGCGGTCGAGTTTTTCGTTTTCGGCGCCTCGATAGGGGTCCGTGCAGGCATCGATGTTCACAGACCCAATGTATCGTTCCCTGATCTTACCTAGTAGCTCCGCATCATTACCTTGGAAGTTGTGGGCAATTTTGTGTAGCGTCTTGTTATTTTCCGTTTTGGACTTGGCTGGATCGATCATGTTTCCCAGCAGCGCCCAAGTTTTTGCTGTCCCTAGCGTGCCCTTGAGTCGCAGAATTCATTCCAGTTTTGCTTCCAGAGCTCTTGCGCGCATTTCTCTGCTTCGGCCGTTAACGCAGCAATTTTTCGTTTCAATTTTCTGTTGCCTTTCTGTCTCCTCCATCTTTTGTTCATGCTTCTACGAGCTTCCCACAGGCGTAGAAGGTAAGTGTCAATTTCAGGAGTGGTGTCCGTCCTTTCCACTGCCTTTGTTGCCCTTTCGTACGCCTCGCGGGTCCCTTTACTCCATTCCGCAATCGCTTAAATCGGTTCCACTT